GGGACCCGAGGCCCGGCCCCACCTTTTCGCCCCCCCAAAAAAAAAAAAAAAAAAAATCGTGATCGGCGGCGGCAACTGGAAAAAACAAAAAGCCGCGATCGGCGGTGGCGGCAGTTCAGCGGCAGGTCCTTTGCTCTTAGAGGGAGTGAGGGACCTGCCGCCCCCGAATTGCCGCAGGTGCCGCCCCTCTCCCTTGGCCGCCCCAAGCAACTACCTGTTAAGCTGGTGCCTGGAGCCGGCCCTGGGCTGACTAGTGGGCAACAAAGTGCCCAAAGGGAGAAGGGTCCTAACTATGCATACACTCCCCATTTTATTCTTAAGCCGATCCAAGCAGATCTTTCACCCATTCAACCAAGGGGGTGACATTCTATTAAGGTTATTTTATAGTGAGACTATTGTAATGGATTTGCTAGTGTCTGTCCCAATACACAGTCCCTTCCACTGGATGGAATCGTCAAGTTTATGTGTGTCATGGGCCCCAAATTGCTAACATATAATGGAGACTTTGATCATAGCTCAAATGGTAGGGGCTTGTCCTTTTTTAGCAGGAAGCTTTGATTTCTCTCCCCATTGTCACAAGAAGATCCAGGTCTCTATAGTGTGCCACATAATAACAGCTAGGAAGTCCTAGGGGGCCATAAAGTTCTTAAAATATTCAGCACTGCCTGCTGGAGCTTGTTTGTTCATTAAACGAAACAATATAAATGCCATTTTTTCCAAATAAAAAGTCTGGAAATCACTTGTGGTTTTCTTAAATTATTATGACTGTTCCAACACAGTTAACAAGAGTCACTTGGGTGTTAACATTATATTTAAACTGCACAGTATATTTAGCATTTATGGTGCTAGAAGGATTATATGAAAACAAATACTACATAAGTGGCCATAATCAGATCACTGTTTAGCAAGACCTGAGTGACAGAGAATGGGGTGCCAATCTGAGATTAACATTCTAATTTTAGGGTGCTAACAAGAGAGTCACGCTGCAGCCACCAGGTAACTACCTAGATTTCTCAGACATAGTGTCTCATGTTGTCTCCGGCCCATTCAAAACTTTACGGTCAAATTGTAGATTATATATTGCCTTGAAATAGTGAATTAAAAAATCAAACCGGAGACTTTGTGTTATGTCTCTGATGAAATAACCAGATTACGTTTCAAGAAGTCAGTTCTTTCTGCTTAAAGGCTATCAAAAGTTGAAGTTTAACAAGCAGGCTACATGACCACTTTGGGTCTATTTTATGATTGCTAGTGGCAGTTCTTCACCAACTATAGCCCTGTTCCTATAAGATAGCAAACATGCTTACAGCAAAAAGAGGTAAAGCTAGAGGTGCTGCTGGCTAACACAAACTTTAGGTTGCCCTTTCTGTGGGTCCTGTGCCCGTCTTAGATTGTTGTAGGGTAACCCTCTCCAAAAAGGACCCTCCAACTTATTTCCTTTTTACCAACTTAAAAAAATTAAGCATATTAACGTCAAAGGCTCTCATGAATCACAGTCTTCCCAGTCTGGCAGGAGGCAGGGTGACTTCTAAAATAAGGTACAATCAGTTTCTAAACTGGTCAAATCCTCTTGCTGCATTACCAAGTTACTAGCTGCCTCAAATAAACAGGTCAATGTTATTGAATAGGGGTTGGTATATGAAACATAAGGGAATGCTCTGCAGTCTTGATTCCCCACTGCATTACATTTTTGTAGGGTCATTTGCACCTGTGCCAAGGGGGTATAAAATGCACACATTTTGCCCAGGTGCAAATGACTATACAAGGTGCTAGGCAGTGGAGAATCAAGCCATGCAAGGATATTCTATTACTTAGAACAATGAGTATTTTTTGGGGAGCAAAAAGGGGCAAAAAACAAAAAGCAAAAGACAGGGAAGTGCTGTGAATGCAACAGTAACCTTGCAAAGGGCCAGTACCTGCTGCTGTACCCGTTACTGTAGCTTACTTGAGTCTTACTTAATAGCAGGCAATGCTCTTGCATTTCTTATATAACCAAAACTTTTATTGAGCTGGAAGAATGTAAGAAGTCTTCTTAGTCTCCAGAAGAGAAGAATGAGGCGGGATTTGATAGCAGCCTTCAACTACCTGAAGGGGGGTTCCAAAGAGGATGGAGCTCGGCTGTTCTCAGTGGTGGCAGATGACAGAACAAGGAGCAATGGTCTCAAGTTGCAGTGGGGGAGGTCCAGGTTGGATATTAGGAAAAACTATTTCACTAGGAGGCTGGTGAAACACTGGAATGCGTTATCTAGGGAGGTGGTGGAGTCTCCTTCCTTGGAGGTTTTTAAGGCCCGGCTTGACAAAGCCCTGGCTGGGATGATTTAGTTGGGAATTGGTCCTGCTTTGAGCAGGGGGTTGGACTAGATGACCTCTTGAGGTCCCTTCCAACCCTGATATTCTATGATTCTAAGACTGGGCCCAAATGCAAAATGGACATTTGGAGAATACCTGAAATAAGCCCCTTTTTATTCCTGTTTGACTGTAAGCTTTTAATGAGACTTTAAAATAACAATAAAACCCTCTTAATAGGATATGTATACCCATGTCACAACCCATTTCATCCTAAAATGAATCTTTCAGTTCTGTCACTTGTCTCAGTTTACAGATACTTTTTCCAACAGGAAAAACAAAATGCATCATTTGAAACAGATATGTGAGCACTTGCAGCAGAATGTCATCTTCACATGGGATTATACTTTACCTATTTCCCAAGGGTGTAACAATGGAAAGTCGATGTAATTTACTCATTTCTTGTTTGGGGGGCATTGGGCCCCTGAGTTGTTGTGAGAAGTATTTAATATAGTGCTTGAAGCCGAAAAGCACTATATGAATACTGAATATTATTAGGTAACAGCATTTTAAATTGCTTTCAGACCATTTAAAAAAAATCTTTATTTTGTTTACAACACTATTACTCACCCTTGCTCATGAAAACTCTTAAAAAGCAACTGAAAAAAGGAAAAAAAAGTAGTTTTTCTATTTAGTAAATGTTAGTGTAAGACAGGCTGAATTATTGCTTGTAGTGCTGCTGTTGGTAAACTCTCAATTTCCTGATTGATTTTTTTACTTGTTGATTATTTTTGAGTTAGAAAATGTATACCCAATGCCTATTTATTAAAAAAAAGTGTGGCTAAATATTTATCAATAGCTTGAGAGACAACAATAATTCTTTCTACTGTTGAGAAGTCAAAGGAAAAGGGAGACAACTCCCAACTCCTAAAGCTTTGATATTTCTAGATCTGGCTAAACCAGGAGGCAGAAATACTGGAAATCTCATGAAAAACGTTTTTCTCATGAGATTTCCAGTTACATTTTGCAGACTAAAATAGCAAAATTGCTTTAAATAAACATCCTAAGGTTTGGGTACTTATCTGAGGCAAATCAAATTTCCAAATCTATTGAAATTGAGCCAGTGCTAGTCATACAGGTCTGTGCACTGACAGAGCAGAGCACTGGAGCTGGAAGTGTAATTTCCAGCTTGGTTAGACATACATCACTAGCTTTGATCAAGCTAGCATGCTAAAAATGGCAGTGTAGCCCTGGCAGTGTGGGCTAGCTCCCCAAGTACAATCCTGTCAGAGACCCTAGGTACATACTTCACTTTCAAAAGATTCTATAGAATTAAGGCTTCTAATTTAAATAGCTGACTAGCTTTTAATCTTGGAATCGAGAACCATGAGTTTTTTTCTGTATAGTTTCAGGACTAAAATCACAGCTGCTTAATGTGTTGTATTTAGCTGTATAACTTCTATACGCCTTTGATTTTTGTGTATGTCATTTTTAGATCTGTAAGGACACTGCAGTTTGCAAAGATAGGAAGACAGACTGAGAGGCAGAGTTACTGCTGACTATTTAGAGGAGACACACACACATACTGTGCTCTCTCATAGAGACGTTACTTTTATTCATTCTCATTATATTGTTTTCTTTGAGTTATATAGATGCTATTCAGACTGAAAGGACAGCTTTGCTCTTTGAAGATGTAAAAATGTTACATCTCTATTAAAGTCCTCTAATGTATATGTTAATCCTTCCAGTATCTTTCTGGAAAGTTACAGTTCATTGTTGATCCTTAAACTCCCTTGGGATTCAGACAATTTGTGGCTAAATTCTGTTTTCACGTTACACAACAATTCTGAATCTGTAGAAATGAAAATGTTTAATTTCTCCCCAGCTCCAAAGGAACTCAAAGTCTGTTCAGACGATATAGACCTAGTTATAGTAATAAATCCAGACAGGTATGATCCTTCCTATGACCATACTGGAAAATATACATAACTTACTTGAATGTAAACAATGTAAATCAGAGATGGGTAGGAAGAAGATTCAAGTTACTTGCTGCAGAAACTTAGCATTGTCAGCACTGAAGATACTTTGGCACCAATTTAATTTCACTTTTTCATAGTTGGCTTGTCTCTGCTTCCTCAACAAAGGAGTTGTGGAAAAACATGTCACTCCTTTATTAAACTGTTAAAACTTGAGATGGCCTTTAAGCCCAATTTTCAGCTCCACTGTGGATTCAAACTTTTCCAGAGTTTTAGTGTGTTCAGATTGGGGTTTTGTTTATAAGATAGTTACCAGCTATCAGATTTGTATCAGGTATAGATTTTGTTTATAGCAGATTCTATGGTCAAGAATTTTTTAAAAATTAGGAGCCTAAATTTTGGTCTTCTAAGTAAATGGGTTTATCTTCAAAAGTGCCTAACACCTAGCAACTCCCATTTAGAAACCAAACTTTTTTTTAAATCTTGGTCCAGTTTGATACCAGCTGTCATCAAAAGCTTAATCCACCAAACCTAGGGTTACTAATGGCCATGCTGCTGGTGCATTTGCTCTCCAGTCCACTAGTAGAGGATTACATTCTATCAAATGAGTGCCTCCAAAGACATAGCATAATGTCAGGGCTGGATACCTTTCTAGAAAGGTAAATCAGAGAGGGTAATGAAGCAGGAATTCATAGAAAAGTAATCATACTGTATTCAGCAATACATAGGGCCAAATTCTGATCTCACTTACACTGCTATAACCTAGGAGTAATAGCATTCATTTAGATAGAATTACTTCCAGTTTACATCAAGTTAACTGAGGTCTGGCTCCCAGAATGCAACTTGTTCCACCTATTGCTCCTGCTCCACTGAACTGTGAAAAGAATCAACTGTGGTGTCTAGAAGATAGCGAGACAGAGAGAACTTGGAGCAGGTGTTGTTAAAAAGTATTAACGGCCACGGCTCCTAGACACAGACCAGACCCTGTGATCTGAGTAATCAGCATCTGAGAAAGTAGAAGAGGAAAACTTGAGCTAGGCACAAGACTTGAGTGCAATCTGTCCTCCCTGAATTTTTGTGCATGTAGTAGATATCTTCTTTTTTTTAATTTTTAAACAAATTTCAGCTGTCCTAAAAGGTGTCATATCAACATCACTGGAAATCCACAGCACAAATAAAGCATGGACAGCAATACTGCAGACTTCGAGTTTTTTTTAAGCTGTCCCATCAATGTGACTCAACCCTGGATGACAGGGACCACCTCTGAAGGTAAGTTCTTGGCATCCCAGTAGCTAAACACTGTCATTCTGATCTGGTTCCATTTGCTGCCAATCTGCAATTACTTTACACATATGTAAATGACTGTACAAGATACAAGGGGGTGGAGAATCAGGCCCCACATTTCCAGTTCTATTATTAAGTATTACTGCCTAAGAAATCTTGAACAAAATTCTGTGTAACTAAAAGTTAATCTTTAGGGCCATGATCTAGCTGAGTAATTAAGCGGCATGCTTAACTTCCGTTGGCTTCGATCAAACTGCTCATGTACATGAAATTAAATAAACGATTAAATGCTTTGCTTGGATCAGAGTCTAGGTCTCTAAGAACTTAATCTCCAGTGCAACCCACCGGCTAGTATATTTGATATGAAGGCAAATCCAGATCCCAGCCCAGTGCTAGGTGAGTCCTTGCTCTACTATCCACTATAATGTGATGTTGCCTTCTTAATAACAAAGTTCCATATGTACATGGAGTAATTTAATATACTGCCCACTAGAGAAAACAAGCACCCATAATACTCTCTGTGGCTATCTAAGGGGCTTAAAGTATAGAAAAGATAAAGAAGATGGTATTTGATATTAATCTTTGTGCATGCAGTTTTAATTCTATTTAAGTTTATACTCAACTTCCATCAGTTTTGGGGATTTCTTACACATTTGTGCTTTTAATTTCAGGTGTTCATAGACTTCTGGTTTTCCAATAAACTTTTGTGTGTAAATTCAGTCATGTGAGATAATACACAACTTTAGTATGTGTGTGCACACGCATGGTCACCATATATATATATTTTAATTAAAATGCACTTCATTCTGTTTAGAGAGGGAAATGCACATTTTCACAGCAAGCCATAACTCATATTTACCAGGCTACACATATTGGCTTATGTAGAACATAGAATGTTTCTTATGATATATATTCTCTCTAGCTGTGAATTTATATACTCTGTATATATGAATTCCAACATTCATTTTTGCATTGTAATGTCAAAATGCAAGTTTACTATAGAATAGACTAAGGTGTGCATTTTCAGTCAACCATCTTCATAGATAACACAACATAATAGATGTAAGTGGGATACTATTGACAATAAGATATGAATTTGTGACTAATACCAATGATTTTAAACTAAAATGTTTTTTATAGTCCAGGTGGTTGAACCAAACTCATAATTAGATTAAGAGATTATTCATAGATTATAAAGACAAAGGAACCACTGTGATTTTCTAGTCTAACCTCCTGTATAACACAGGCCAATGAATTTCCCTGAATTAATTCATGTTTGAATTAGAGTATCTGTTACAAAAACATCCAAGCTTGAGTCAAAAATTTCCAGTGACGGTGAATTTACTAAAACCCTTGCAAAATTGTTCCAATGGTTAATTACTCTCACTGTTAAAAATTCCACAGAATGCCTTTTGTTCTCAGGGACATTTCAGAAGGTAGCAAATGATCTAACCCAAGTTTGAGAACAGAAGACACTCTCATGTACTTACATGACTTCCTCCCATGTTTTATGGAAACAAATGAACATCTGGTGGAAGTGGAAGAATTTTCTTTTTAAGGAGACAGGGTTTAGACTTGCATGAAATAAATGTCAATATGCGAGGAGTCACATTACCTTCCTAGGATGTGTAATCAGTGAGAATGGGTTGGAGTCTCAACCCCAGAAACTGAATGTTATAAAGGATTGGAAGGTTCCTACAAATCTGGAGGAGGTACAGCAGTTTGCAGATCTCTGTGGATTCTATTGGAGATTTGTAACTAACTAAGAGCAACTTTGTCTGGATGGTAAAACACCAGAGCATTTGAGTCACTGAAGGAAGGACTTCTAAACCATGCCGTGCTTAAATTCCCAGATGTATCCTGTCCATTCATGGTAACCTGTGATGCATCAAAGGTGTCTGTTGGATTTGCACTTGAGCAAATAGATGAGCTCAGTAGGTGCTGCTGCATGGCTTTTGGAGGTCACAAGTTAAATGAGAGGGAAACCAAGTATTCAGTTACACAGCTGGAGTGTCTGGCTATTGTGGAGGCCTTCAAGGCCTATCATCCCTATTTATTAGGTATGGAATTCACAGTGTACACAGACTACAGTGCCCAGCAGTGGTTCCTTACAAAGCACAACGCAGAAAGACACCTGTGGAGATGGATTCAGAAACTGTCTAAATATACATTCATGGTTCACCATAAACCTGGGAAGCAAAATCTGTTGGCTGCTGCTTTCAGCAGGGGTAACGGCTATGAGAATAGACTCAGCATGGTCTTGTGAAGACATCTGCAAGTACCATCTAAGGACTCTAAGTTGTGTTTGGTGTGCCAATAGATCCTACTGAAGGAGACCTAGACTGGGGAAGTTCAATGCAGTTCAGGAATGTTTATCCATTGATCTGGTTATCAACTTGGTGATATATAATGGTAACAGGTCCATTGTCTTGCCAACAAGCTTACAGATAATGGTACTGGAATGACTTCCTGATAAGGAAGTGACAGGTACCTGGGATGCAAAAAGATACAGAACTATGTATCCAACAGATTTTTTTGGCTGGGCATGGCTGTTGCAGATGTTAAGGACTGGGTGCTTTCCTGTCTTGTTAAGAAAGGAAAATGCCAGCAAGAAGAGGCAGAACTGCCACAATCTAGTAAACCTTGGGAGTTCATACAGATTGGCTTGAAATGCCCACTCCAGACACACCAGGTGGAAATCGGTATTTGCTGGCACTGTATGACCTCTTCTCTGAGTAGATGTTGTCATACAACCACTGAAGGATAAAATGACTGAGATGGTTATGGATGTATTGATGAAACATGTAATGTTGCAGTTTGGCCCACCAAAGTGCATCTGTAGTGATCAGAGGAAGGAATTTGAATAACAGTTGTTACATAAGGCATGCTGACCACTCCAGATAACCAATGTGAGGACTACTCTGTGAGTAATGGGAGAGTGGGGAGAATAATCCACAGTATTGGTTCTATATTTAGAGTCAGTGAAGATAAATGAGACTGGGATACGAAGTTGCCTTTTGTCATCTTTGCATATAACATCAGCAGGCACTTAATTACCTATTACTCTCTTTATTGGATTATTTTTGGACTCTGCAAACCTGTGCTTGCCTGTGACTTGCCAGTTCTTACTGCCTGAACATCAAGACTTAGAGTTGCCAATCCTCCAGGAATTAAAGATTAATCTTTAAAGATTGTCATGTGATAAAACTTTCAGGAATATGTCCAACCAAAATTGGCAACCCTATCAAGACCCTGCGCACCTAAACAGATGGATGATGGAGCAAAGTCTTTCATCTGTTCCTCCACCTTCTGGAATGCTATACTTGTGTCACTGATAAGTCAGATGTGAGTGCCAGGCACAAGATGCCAGGAAAAAGGAAAATAATATACCCGTCCAAGAAAGAAGGTGTGGCCACACAACTGGAAAAAGCAGCCTGGAAAAAATCCCAAACTTAACACTGTTTTGGAGGGGACCTCACATAGGCCTGGTCTCCACTAACCCCCCACTTTGGACTAAGGTACGCAAATTCAGCTATGTTAATAACGTAGCTGAATTCGAAGTACCTTAGTCCGAACTTACCGCGGGTCCAGATGCGGCAGGGAGGCTCCCCTGTCGATGCCGTGTACTCCTCTCGCCGAGCTGGAGTACCAGCGTCAACGGCGAGCACTTCCGGGATCGATCCGGGATCGATTTATCGTGTCTAAACCAGACGCGATAAATCGATCCCAGAACATCGATTGCCTGCCGCCAGACCCTCTGGTAAGTGTAGACATACCCTTAGTGAGTAAGAAATTAAGCAACTTATCATTGCTGATACAAAAAGCAAGAGCTCGCCCCTTTGTAATGCATTGAGAACTGGTGCACAGATTCATTGAAAGAATGGAGAGGGTAAATACTGAGGATGCTCAACAACTATCCCAAAGGATGCATAAGTGCATTTGGAGGTACCCCAGCAGGTTCCTGTGGCTCATAACAGATCAGTTGTATTGGAGGAATTGCCAGGATGTTCTCAGGCTACAATATAGTGCTGTCTTCAACAGACAATCTGTCCGCAACAGATAGAACTGACCTAGAGGACATGAACCCTGCACTCACTGATCATCTGGATCCAACTATGAGTGAGGTATTCATGACTGAATATAGGACTTGAGTGGGCAGATGTCCATGGACAAAGGCATCGACTTACCCTCTGCCCAGTGGGTGCTCGACCTTTCCCACCCCCATTCCACCCCTTCCCCAAAGTCCCCGCCCCCCACCCCACCTTTTCCCACCTCATTCCCGCCCAAGAGCGCTGCCAGCTTTTTTGCCACCCCAGGCGGCAGAAGGTCCCACCCCCGAAATGCTGCTCCCGACAGAGGCGGCGGAAGGTCCCGCCCCCGAAATACCGGTGCAGCCGAAGATCCGGCTGCCGCCCCCCAAATGTTAGTGCCCTAGGCGACCGCCTAGGTCGCCTAATGGGTTGTGCTGGCCCTGGCCCCGCCCCCTTCCTGCCCCCATTCTACCCTTTCCCCCAAGTCCCCGCCCCTGCCCTGCCTCTTCTCGGCCTCCTCCCCTGAGCACACCACGTTTCCACTCCTCCCCACCCCCAGAAAGTCTTAAGTGCCACCAAACAGCTGTTAGGTGGCGGAGGGGAGGGAAGTACTGGGAGGGAGGGGGTAGAGCGGGGACATGGCACACTCGGGGCAGGGAGAAGGAGGTGAGGAGGGGGGAGATTGGCTGCTGGTGGGTGCGGAGCACCCGCTAATTTTTCCCCATGGGTGCTCCTGCCCGAGCATCCACGGACTTGGTGCCTATGTCCACAGAAACCTGTGTGGATGACAGACTACCTTGATTCTTAGGCGCTACTGTTCAACTTCTTATTTATTTGTTTGTGTATGTGTGTGGGAAGGTTGTGATATTTAGTATATAGACAGCACCTCCATCAATAAATGATGCTATATCCTTATTTTAGTGTTAAATTGTCTTGTACATTATGCTGTTGATTTAAGCTAGGGAGCTAGTGGGAAGTTTAGCTCTGCCTGTATGTACTGGAGTGGGTACTTGCAGTAAATCCCAGTAAATCTCTGATGCTATGAGTTTTACAGTATGTACAGACTGTGATCATGTCACCCCTTAACTTTCTCATTGTTAAGCAGATTGAGCTCTTTGAGTCTGTCACTATAAAGCACTATTAGGACTAACTTTCTTGGCCTTTTTCAGGTCGATATTTACTGAATCCATACCAACCTCTTTCTCCTTTTGGGTGGTGGCACAACCAGGTCACTTATATGTTGCACTGGAGGTGCAGTGTAATATAATGGTGGACAAGAGGATACTGCTAATTCTTTGCCTGACCCTTATCCAGTTCCTAAGTCAGTCTTCCATGTCGTGAGAAAAAATCCTGTATTTTCTAGGGAAAAATGCATAAAGACAAGAGCAATGAAGAAAAACCTTAGAAAATCTGAATCTCTTTTTATCGAAGTGTCAGTTTTTTTGTAGATATAGGTAATGCTGGAAGACGATGTTAGCAAGAGCTTGATTTTCAGACTTCAGTTGGAGTTGTGGGTGGTCAGCACTTCTGAAAATCAGACTGCAAGAGATTAAGTGTTAGAAGTTCATCTGCTGGAAGAAAACCTGAGGAAATTATGTTGTTTTTATCTAGGGATAAGGAGAAGAATTTCCCTCCTTTCTTTCTTTGGAAGTCTATTTTTCATCAACGCATCAGAGAATTATAAAGGTAAATCCCACTGACACTAATGGGAATAATGAGCATAAATACCCTGAGCATTAACAGGGTATCTCTTATTGTTGGCAGAGTTAGAATACTGCATATTCTAAAACATTAATAGAATTATCGGGTGCTCTACAGTGCATGGAAGCATGTTTTTGCACTCTTGAGTATACTCTACATGAAGTGTATGAGTCTTAGTCTGAAATGATTTATCCACAGAGTAAGAGACAGGTTTTATAATGGAAACATTGCCAGAACCATGACAGTCAGGTCTGATGTAATGCTGTATTAGTGAAGGTATATTGTGCTAAGGGTAAATATGGGAACAGTGGTGCAGGCTAGCTTCTTGATACTACACACCTCCATACCTTTTGCTAAGAGGGGAAAAATGAAATATGGTTGTTAATGGATATCAGCAGTCCCTGCTTTATACAATTAGGATGCTATTGGAAAAGGCTGTGTCAATTGCAAGGGAACTTTATATTTCAGTGTCAAGTTCCCAGATGTTTTCTGTATGTTTGTCTTGCCTTTTTTCCTTAAAAAAAAAAAAAGAAGAGGAAGAGAGAATCCAATTTTCTAAACCCTGGTAAATTCAAATCTCTCCAGAAGTCACAAGCTGGCTGATTTACTGCTTTCTTCACTAGCAAGTTATCAGCCAATGTGTGATGAAATGGAAAAGTTAGTGAGGACACTCTTCAGTCCAAACAACTAATTTAAATAGACTGTATCAGTTTAAGGTGTGCAAGATGAAAGAGAACAACAACAGGAAAAAAGAAATGTTTGATAGAGAAAATCTACAATTTTTTATAGAATTTTCTTTGGCTTTTCCCTTCGACTATATAAATATTCAAATCTGCTGGGCAATTTTTGATTTATAGTCTGCTTTCTTATTGTGACGTCTGTGCATGAGGTGAGAGCTTAGGGTTAGAGCTTAGATCTGTGTAAAGTGAAATTTTCCCTAGCATGAGTAAAACTTTCCTATGTAAAATTTGTTCAGGTGTAATGGAAAATGTCCAGGTTTGAGGCTCCTGGACATAGTCTTGCTATTTGACTAGGAGTTGAGAATCTTGAAACACAATAACCTCTGATTTTTCTTGACTCGTGCCTTTTTAGTCAGCATTACAAAAATTATTGGTTTCCTCACTCACAAACATTATTAATAACCAATCCCTTTATGACTGGTGTATGTCTCCTCAGCTGTAATGGCACATTGAGGAGAGGAGTCCTTGGTTTTTTAGTAGGCCAAACTGCCTTTGAAAAAAAGACAACCCTTTCTTTTGCCCATTCCTAGAAATGAATCCACACTAACTTAACATTGACTTACCCAGTCTGTGGAATTTTGAGGAAGTTTATATCTAGATCCAGAACTGGATCAGAATTTAGAAGAATGAACAGAATCCTAAATCAGAACAACCATGTGCTTTGCAAAGGTTCAGGTTCACCTCTCAATTTAGGTCTGAATTTTAGGTCTTGGGCGCTTCTGTAATGTGAAAGGTTTGAGTATCTTTATCTGTAGCGCTCCCTCTCCTTTTTGTAAAATGGCCTCTGTATTTTCAGCTGCTAGCTTGGACCAAACTGGAAAATGCTGAGATATCATGAAAGAGACTTGTGTTTTTCACACTCTTTCTGGCCTGATGAAGTTTCATGAATGAAACTGTTCTTGGGAGATTTCAAATCAAATTTTGCAGACTCATGCAGATAATTTGCACAAGCACTCAAAAGTTTGTATTTGTACCCAGCCCTGCATTTACCTAAACTAACTCCAAACCTTTTGAGATTCCACATTACCTCATGCTTTTTCAGATATGGTGTGTGACTCTTAGATTGTTAGCTGCTCAGAGCAGTGATAGCACTTTTTATAGAGGCTTATAGAGCGCTGGTCAACCTTGCACACAATAAATAACAATATTAAAGTTCACCCATCAGAGTTTTCAACAAATACTAAAAAAGGATACATAAAAACTAAACAGAGAGAGGTATAGGCACTGCTGAAACTTGTAACCATGCAGGGAGGTAAAGAACACAAGATGAGTTCTGCCACTTGTCGAATGCCACCCTGCCCCTAAAAGATTATTCCAATACACAGTATTACTTTTAAAATGCGCTGAGAGCCAAATTATGAGGTCTTTACTGAGCCAAGTTCCTTCTGAAGCCAGGGTGAATTTGCCTGAGTGTGGGCTAATTAAATGCTGGGTAGACCTTAGAATTTGTCCCTAAGAAAATAAAATAAATCTTTGTTCCAGGATGGAAATACATGTTTCCAAAGAACAAACTCTTGAGGAAAATATACAGCTTTGGCTGATGTTTTATTCTCTAGTAGTGCACCATTCTACCTTTGTGTATTCCACTACTCAACACTCTCTCCCCTCTATTAAATTATGTGTTGGAAATGGCAATTGACTGATAAGACTTTTCCTTCCTTAGATTCAAAAACTCTGTTACTTTCAATGTTTGGAAACTAACTATGATTTCTCTCTAAGAATCAATTGGATTTGGGTCTTTATATACACACTATCTCTTTCATTCTAATGTGTCATGAAACCTATTTTTGTAACTAGATCATTCAGAGACACATCTTGTGATAACAAGCACCATCCAACTGCCAGTTCGCAGTTATACAGGCACCATGAACAACATGATGAAATACAGAAGTCTTAAATACACACTACTGATCATTCACTTTAATATGAGCCAGTGTCTGTTCTCAGTTATATAAGTGTCTGCTCTCAGTTATATAAGGATGGTAGATTCAGGCCCTAAATTTGCAAACTTCTGTTTTATGTGAAATTAAAAAATGCAGGTGAACAAGTCATTGACACAAACATATGGTATAATTCTGGATATTGCTTTAATCTTTTGGTTACCCAGACATACCATGTGGATAAATAGAGCACAAATTAATACTGGTAGGCCTCACTGGATAACCTAATATCCACAGTTCATTTTCTAAACTTTGATCTTAGTCCAGCAGGAAAAAAATGTTTCACAGCACACAGTTTATTTGCAATGACATATAAAATAAGACTGACAACAACCAACACAGGTTTAAGGCATCTTGTTTGACAAGCAGCTCATGACAGATTGAAAGAGAAACTCAACAGTTATCCACATGACTTTCTTTCAGTATTTCATTGCTTTTAGACCAGGCAGAACCTTTCCAATGTGGAACCACTTTTAATTAAAGTTAGCGTACGTACATGGTTTCCTCAGCTGGTTTTGCTTTCAGTTATGTGTCTGCATTAATTTAGCTTACTTAGTGTTACTTAGTTTTGTTATCGACCTCTGCTTTCTCAATCTTCTGTCCTGTGAGGAACTGCCATATTCCTCCTCTATAGTTTTCATTCCCCAGGGCATAGACAAAAGCATCCACTGTTGGCACTGTCTTGGCAATAATGGCAGGTATCTGTTATAAGATATATACAGACAGAGAACAATTTTAATTTCATGTAAAAAATGTAAGTTTCAGCAGAAGTTGAAGTGATGCTACACAAGCCCATTAGATCCTCACTGCAGTCTAGCCCTGAAGAAATGGTTGGTTTGCCCCTTACCAAACAAGTTCCTGCTGAATTATTTTTAAAAAATGAATTTGCTGCTTGTGATGAGTTTTGAGTCAACTGAAGATAAGTCCTTTACCCACATGACAGGTACAAGACAGACAATGAAACTTCTTCAAATTGCCCAGCCACTCTTCCCTGACTAGGAGAGGACCACCTCCAAAGTGAGAAATCAGTTCAGTGTCTGTACTCTTGGGATTTTTCAGTTGAGACTGAAAACAAATGCACAATTTGTGGTAGTGAATTTTGTGATGTAGGCTATCCAAGGTGAAGTCAACTGAGATCACAAACTCATTTTAGGTGGGATACTGAACAATATATGGGATACTGAACAATATATGGTAGTAACTTTTAGCTACCTGCAACTTTGGATGGATTTTAACCAGTGAGCTACAGATGAAAGGCTTCATATGTTATTACTTAACCCCTGAGCCAGTCAGTTCCCCAAGATAAATTATTTTGATTTTGAAATAGAATGGTAAAATACTTCATGCACATATGCTAAACTCCCATCCTTTTTATATGCCATCTTAGCATCCCCTTCTCGTTTCCTACAAATGTAGAACAGAGAGAATCTAGAGAAAAGGTTCATTTCCTCCAATTCCAGAACAAGTTTTATTCAGAGAGGAGTCCTCTGGGAAAAGTAAGCATTTTAAGAGTGGTTTTACTAATTAAAGATTCACTTAAGAAATGAATGCTCCACACTGGAAAACAATGGAGCCAAAACCAGCTCTTTAGAGTAATACCACTTGAACTTAGATGAAAACCTGACCAACCGAATAATACTCAGGCTACAGATCCAAAATCGACTATTGAAGCAACAAGTGAAGCTTATTAAATTGTTTTCAGTATCTTGTGGCGATCTCACTAATATCATTTTTAATTATTGTCATTACTATACTTAGCTGCTTTTCTTTAAAGATAGTAGATGAATAATAAACTATGTAGAAACCATTTACTTATTTATATATCCTGTGTCAAGCTAATGATTAGTGAAATGATATGCTGTAGGAGTAAGTCAGAAAAAAACAAGGACAATGTGAGGGCTTTTTCAACATACCATTCGGAGTTTTGGAGAGATGAAAGTCACATTTTCAACTGCAGCATAGAAGCATAAAAGGGAGTAGGGGCCCCAGCAAATGACCAGTGTCTTCACTGGTAAACTTGTATTAAACTGAAAAAACAAAACCACACACTCATCTATTACATAGTAATATGCGGCATTAAACAGACAGGACAGATGCAGTAACCTAATATTCTTTGCTCAAAATCAGTGAAGGATTTTTAGATAGAAGACACACATGTTAGAGACTGTCCTCCTTCTGCTCTCAGCTCTTCCATTGATGTTATTTGGATGAAATTGTGTGGAATTGGCTCCCAATGTTTTGGGCTCCCCCTGCTGGGACAGTAGTAGCTATTTGCCTGTTAGTGCTATTCCTAGAGAGCTGATATAGATCATGGGGTGACATAACAAGGTGAAATGTGAAGTGTCCCTTGAAAGCAGCAGGGATGTTAATTAAGCAGCCATGTTAATTTCATTTCTACAGAAAAGGACAGGGTGTAGGGGGCAACAGGAAACTTTCAAAATGGACAAATCGGTGATGGGATGGGATTTTGTAAGCATCTAAGAGGGTATTACAAATGGGATGAAGCAAATATAACAAATAATACAAAAAATTAAATGAGATCATTGATATCAAGCCAAAACATATAGTGTTGCCATTGTGTCTATATTTTGTAGACTTTTCTGTGGTTCTCATGACCATAGTATTTGAGTACCTCACTATTAATGTGTATGTGTACACATTGAACTGTAGTTTTAATGCCTATACATTTCCTGCGGATTACATAATACCATACACTATTGTACACCATCCTATAATAGGCAAAGACATAAGTTGTCAGACTCTTCCATAAACTCAGTGAAAAAAAATGTTGATCTTTGTTAAAGTAATATATTGCTTGTGTACATACCTTCTATCCTACACACTAGTCTGCTAGGGTAAATCTTTGCCTCAAATTTTAACTCTGTTTCTTTTTTTTTAAGGATGCCATGAGAATGAATTTGATAACTGAGGGAGCTCTGTGTGTGAATTAGCCAGTCAAGTGTAAAGCTCACTGACTGTACAGTATGTGCCTAAAAAAACAAGTTACATAATCGCCACATTACATCATCATAAACCTAGTGCTCCAGAACATTTCTGAAGAAACAATTCCTTTGTTTCCACCTCATAAAGATTTCTGATTTACCCTAGCCAAGTGTAAACAAGTTACATTTATAAAACCAGCCTCCCCTCCTGCCCCCACTTAGAAACTGAGTCCTCCTCATAATGTTTCCTTTGCAGTGTTGTTGCTCTCAGAGAGCTTTGATGTGCTAAGACTTAGTTAAGTAAGTAAGAATGAGCGTTCATGAGCAAAGCTACTCTGGATGATTATCTATATCAAATCAACAAAAACTCCCTCTATTCTATTTTACCATGCACTTATTTTAGTGTATAATCTGGGAAGGATTCTGTAGGGAGGGGAGGTGAGGGGTTGTTTCAAAATCTTGGTCAATGATACTGAGGCCAGGAGGGAGAGTGTGTTTTCAGGACTTTATACGTCACATAGGTGATCTTGTTTTGGGGGGAACTCGAGGAAGCTTCCTTACCTTGAACTGTCCACTTTTCTTGAATTTCTGCTCTATAGATTGGTACGCTGTCAGCATGATGAAGATAGGGATCACAAAATTGAAAATGGCCATAGCAAAAAGGAATGTGACGAAATTTCTGGTGGGTAGAGGAAAAAGCCCCCATTAATCCTTTTCTGATGTGTTGTTTGTTGTTTATAAAATGCATTAATCAGAGTGTGCTCTAGCACACATGCAATATTTGAAATACTAATTAACAACCATTCTGTATATTACCTTTCTATCAATAAAAGACTGCATAGAAAAGGAAATTTAGACCTCTTGTAATCTTTTCTCAGGCAAAAGCTTCTAAGTATTTATATATTTATATTTGTAAAAATGCAAAGGAAGGACAGATGCTTTAGATGCAGCAGACAGGCTTTGGGGCATGTGCTGAAGCTCAATACAGTTGCACTCTGATAGACCAGGAGTGGAAGTGGATTCTGGTAAGAAGAGCTACTTAGGGAAAACACCCCACCCCCTATTTCCTCCTAGTTTAGCTGTAGGGCCTGTTGGCTCAAGAGTTTCAGCTGATATCAGCAAACAGATGGTATTATATAAAGATAATGGTAAGAATGATAATGTAATTAATTAATTAATATTGTGATAGTGCCTAGAGTCCCCAGTCAAAGATCAGGACTTGTGCTAGGTAGTACACGTGAGTAAAACAAAAAAGTCCCAGTCAGAGTGTTCAGAATCAAAGATCATGACACAATGTATTAGGTGGATAAACAGGAGAGCATGAGGGACATTGTAACACTAGTGGTAGCACAGTCAGTATTTGGCATAGATCACACAGCAGTAGCAGCTGCCTAGGGTGTCGATTTTTGAGGGACGCCTCTGACCCAGCTGGCCTCACACCTGTGAGCTGTACCAATACAGCTTTGGATTCAGCTCTTTTAAAGGTGCCAGAGCCTTTGTGACAGCAGCAGTGAGTGGGATTTGCCATACTAGTGGGTCTCTGGCCCAGCTGCTTCCAGCAGAGGTTTGCTGAGATACTTCACACAGCTGTAACCATGGCTGGGGGCTGAGAGCAACCACACCAGCACATTTCCACCCAATTGCTCTGTCCCAGAAAGATGGGGCATCTAGGGCAGCCGGATGTCTAGTGTCAGCTCTGAAAGATAAGCGTTTGCTATAAAATTCACCTACTGCTGGTCTTGTCACCCATTTCACAGAAAGCTGAGGGAATAATCTAATGGGCCTCCTCACCTGTCTCCTTTGGTGTAGTCCAATGTGCAGCAAGTTCTTAGTGGCTCATAGTCATATTCACCCCACCCCAACAGTGGCATTGCAGACCAAAATGCAGAGAACACCCACACAAATATCACCATTGAGATAGTTGTGCTCCATTGTAGCTTACTTCCTGCAAAGTATAGAAAAACAGAATCTTAAAGCATGAAAAAGGACTTGTAATTTTCCCTTTTCAGGGATAGATCACATAGCAGCTGACTTGGCAGAAATAAGAAATGTTTTTTCCTATTGAATGCAATTATCCAGCCTTTGCTCTCATTTCTATGAAATTATTGCACCTCCAATGGTTGAAGCCCCTCAACCTTTGGCCTCTTGCCTAAGGGCTAAATCCAGTCCCTATGCCAAGCTTAAGTACCCAGGCTTGGCAAAAGGCAGATCCAGTGGTGTTGCTGTAAGGAATCCCTCCAGGGCATAGAGTGGCATTGGAACTACTCTGGCTATTACAGTAGTCCTGCAGTAGCTTATTTCACTCCTTCCCCTTCACTTGGCTCACACCTCCAAGACTTGCTGTGCAATGACATGCAAATGGGGTGCAGTACCCCCCTAAAGGATGCTCAAGTTCTATCCCTCTGCTGTGGAGGGATGAGATTTGACCCTCAGAACAGCACTTGATGGGTTAGGTACTGTCTTCAAGCTATGGATACATGAATGTCCCAAAAGCTGTGGCCAGAAGGAAAATTACAAGGTGCAATTTGTTGTGCCTCTGTCCTGGCTCTTGCGAAAATTGTAGATCTTACAATCTCTACTTAGCCCCTTCATGGGTCATTTGCACATTGTGACATGAAAGGTCATAGTGGGTCAAGGACATGGTCTGCTCCAGATGATCTATTCTTGCTTGCCATCAACCCGTCTTTGCCAAGATTACTTTTGTTCCTAGTGTCTGTGTGGGGTTGTGTAGAGCCAGGGTTGTCTAGAATCTGGGTACCAAATCAAAGAAACTCAGGATATGATCCAAGGTGAGTAGTAATTGGTTTCTGCCATATTTTATTGCCTGAAGCATAAGTGTAGGGACATCAGGCTGATTTCAGTGGAATTACACTGTCATAAAACTGGAATATCACAGTGATGCATCGGTTCAGGACTTCAGGAACCAAGAAACTACTCTCCTTTTTGGCATGGTCTTATCAGATATCTAGTATGTCACTGCTCAATTTTATACAAAACAGGAGGTACATGTGGTCTTGTAGTTGAAATGTTCTTCCTTTTTTTTAAAAAAAATGTTTCTCCACTAAAGAGCTTTTCATGTTTTTTTAAAACAATTTTTAAGAATTTGGTTAGGCTAGATAACTGAAGGAAATAAAGAAGATCCCATACAAATAGAGCGGTCAGGAAGATGAAATGGGATTCAAAAAAATGAGTGTTCACCACAAAGTGTTGTTCTGTTCAGAAATGTGACTCAATAAACAAGTAGCCCAAAAAATTATTTATAGTGGGTCAATGATTCTAGAGCAAATTTGCTCACTTTACAAATTATATTGTTTTCTAATTGCAGACATAATCTGAAGTCATGGGGTTTTTTTTGGTTTGTGCATCATCGCCTATAATAAAGGTTTCACCAGATAAATTATTCTGCCCTCAGAAAGTATAATTGTTCAGCCAGGACTAGAGATGAGTCATGGAAAAATTGATAGAGGTACTTGCCCTTCATAATTTTATAGTAAAAACTGATTGGTCATGCCTTTATACCCAGTCCCATAAAAATAAGAGGAATAGATTAATAAATTAAATTAATGGTTGGTAAATTTAGACCACTATATAGGAAATATTTCTTCAGAGAAGGCAGGCAGACTGTGGAATTTGCTGCAGTGCAGGTCACTGAGTCAAATACTGTGACTGCATTTAAAAAGGGCTGGATAATTTTCTTACCAAGATTACCATTTATAGTTATACTCATGCTGAGATAAGGATAATCAAATCTCATGCTACAGGGCATAAACTAATCTTTACTGAGACTGGGAAGCAATCTTCTTCTCCCCCTTGAATGAGTAGTGTACAGTTGGCCAGGAACATTATGGGATATTTGCCCCTTTGTTTGAAGAATCAGGAATTGAACACTGCCAAAGGCCTATTATTAGACTTATTATCTCATTTGGTATGGTTAATCTTGAGTTCCTATGTTTTTGTGACACATAGCATTTTGGGAGTGTAAACTGGAGATTGGGGACATTATTAAGAAAAAATATCACAGTAACTTCCAGCAATGCCCCCCAAACCCCACCGTTAGTGCTTTGAACCATTTCTGTAGCATACTGTAGTACTTTATTTCTATCCCTTCTTCTTCTTTTTTTAAAGACATGTATTGGGCAGGAAGCATTAAAACAGAAGTGAGCAAACTATGGCCCGCAGGCCAGATCTGGACCGCGAGCCGTTTTAAGCCGGCCCACGAGCTCCCGTTGGGGAGCAGGATCTGGGACTTGCCCCTCTCTGGCGCTTCAGCTGGGGAGCAGGGTTGGGGCCACTCCACGTGGCTCCTAGAAGCTGCGGCATGGCCCTGCTCTGGCTCCTACACATTCCAATGGCCCTAGGGTGACAAGATGTGCTGATTTTATAGGGACAGTCCTGATTTTTGGGTCTTTTTCTTATATAGGCTCCTATTACCCCCGAGAGCCGCCTGGTTGCGCTTCCGTATAGGAGCTGGAGAAGGGACATGCCGCTGCTTCTGGGAGCCGCTTGAGGTAAGCGCCGCTGGGAGCTTGCACCTCTGCACCTCTCCCCATGCCCCAACCCCCCACCCCAGCCCTGATCCCCTTCCCGCTCTCCAAACCCCTCGATCCCAGCCCAGAGCACCCTCCTGCACCCCAAACCTCTCATCCTCAGCCCCACCCCAGAGCCCGCACCCCCAGCCAGAGCCTGCACCCCTTCCCACATCCCAAACCTCTCATCCCCAGCCCCATCCCAGAGCCTGCACCCCTAGCCAGAGTCTGTACCCCTTCCCACACCCCTGCCCCAGGCCTGATCTCCCTTCCACCCTCCAAACCCCTTGGTCACAGCCCGGAGCACCCTCCTACACCCCAAACTCCTCATCCCCAGCCCCACCCCAGAGCCCTCACCCCCAGCCAGAGACCTCACCCCCCTGCACCCCATTCCCCACCCCAGCCTGGAGCCCCCTCCCGCACCCTGAACTCCTCATTTCTGGCCCCACCCTGGAGCCCTCACCCCCTCCCATACCCCAACCCCAATTTTGTGAGCTTTCATGGCCCGCCATACAATTTCCATTCCCAGATGTGGCACTTGGGCCAAAAAGTTTGCCCACCTCTGCATTAAAAGGAAGGGAAAGGTGACCTTCAAACCAGTGAAAGTCTGAAGATAGACAAACAATTGCTAACAACACCCAGGCTAGTTTTTGAGGAGCCGTTTAGGATTAGGATTAGGATCAGGATCAGTGTGCTAGTTGATTAGTGCAAAGAAAGGTCCCCAGTCATATAAGTGATGTCTTACTATTATGTTAAAAAGGGTATCCCACATAATTTTCTTAGCCTTTGACAAATTTCACACACCAGAAGTGCATGTGTTTGCAAATGGGAGATATATGGGACAGGACAATCTTTTCATTTGTTTTTCTCTGTGAGCAAAATTGCTTCTGCATAACCATAATCAATGGAAACAAGATTATCATTTGGCAAGCAAATTCCCACTAATTGTATTTGATGGTAACATGTTTACTGACAAATGTATTGAATATATAATTTTTTGTGCAAGTGATAAATATGAAGTGAGTGTGAGTGAAGACCTTGTGTGGAAAAGCTGAGCAATTCTCTCTGGATATTAAAAAAAAAAACCTAAAAAAACCTATCTGCTCCACTCCAGAGGCAATACATTTGCTGTCCAGAAATACTTTTATGAATAATCTTCATTATTCCTTCATCCCAAGGAATAATCTTCTCAGGGGTAAATTCCATCCGAGAGGAGATGGCTCCTTCAGAGACAGGAATACCATTCCAACTTTTTCTTTAGGTTGGTGCTAGAAATGAAAAAGAGTTTAGCAGCTGTTCCCATGAATCCTCCTCACCATTACACCAAGATAGCATTTGAGGTACAAAATGGATACTTTGAGGTACAGAGTGCCTTCAGTAGGAATTGAGAAAGTGCAGCACCTCTCAGATGGGTCAAAGAGCTTTGCAGGATTGGGGCCTACATGAGAGAAACAACAAAAAGGAAGAGCTTTCTATCAGAGAAACTCAAAACTGGAGGATACTGTTGAAAACTTTGGCTCTAAAGTCTTTTTGCCTCAATTTCCTCATTTGCAAGACAGAATAACCATATTACCGTATGTTACAACAGTATGTTTAATGTTTGTAAAGCACTTAGAGATACTTGGCACTGAATTGGAGCCAAGTGTGGTTCTGTTTTATTATTAAAATAAACTGCACCAGTGAAGTCTCAGCAGATAGGTTAACAACTGAATTGACATAGAGCTACCTTCTTCTTGGAGGCGGTCACTTCAGAACAGAGATGCCACAATGGCAGGGCAATGTAAATAAAGCTTGCACAGCCACTGCTAGTGCTGTACCTGTTCAGGGCTTGGAGAATTTGGATAGACCTGAAGAATATGATTGACATCTTATCAGAGCATTAAATTCACTTCAGTGATGGTGTTAATTAAAGAAAACAAATTCAATATCAGTCAAGTTCCCTGGATCTGGTAATGCATTGAGAAAGTGAATAAAACTAATTTAAGTGAAAGAATAGACAAAACCATGCTCTCATATCACACTGAAACAATATTATTTCAGGTTTTGGAGATCATATGACAGCGTTGGTACAAAACACTAACTGTTCAATACAATGTAGATCAGATTATGGCTTTATGCAAAACTTCTTGTCTAGTCTCTTACAATTGCCCAAAGTAGGAATAAAGGCCCTGATTGTGGAAAACAATCACATACCTAAAGGTCAGGATGTGCTCAAGTGTTGTGTGAATAGAGATGCTTTCCTGAATCAGGGCCAAAATACTACCACATCAAAAGGGTAAGTGGTAGTGCTTGGACAAAGTGCAAGACAGTAGAGATTCAGACCTACTGAGAGTAATCAAATCTTGTGCTCTGGCCTTAACTACTTTGAGGGTCAGAAAAGATATTCTCCCTGTGATGTACAGTTAGGGTTACCATATTTTGAGCCTCCAAAAGGAGGACACTCCACGGGGCCCCAGCCCCGCCCACGCCCCCACCCCAACTCCGCCCCTTCCCCAAAGTCCCCGCCCCAACTCTGCCCCCTCCCCTGCTTCCCGCGAACATTTGATTCG